TGCCTCATGCATTTTTCGCCTTTAGGGTTTAGAGGAAAGGCGAATATCTATAACTTCAAAAACTAAGATGGAAAAAGTGAACTGTAACTTTAAAATATAAGAAGATTACTTCAGTTGGGTCAAACCCCATTGTTTTTTTTTACTTAAATTTCTTATGTACTTCTTTTTTATCTATATATGTGTTGGATTTTTAAGTGAAGTGAGGATGTAAAACTCTTTAACCATCACTACAAATTTTCTAATTATGCAGGAAACCACACTTTTGCAACTTGTAAAATCAAGTGAATTACTTCAACTTGGAAAGTTCTCATGAGTTTTTTCCTATTTTGGGTTGTTCGCATAAAATTTTTGATATCTTATATGTTCTTATCTTTTAACTATGCACAGTATAACACAAAACTCTCTTTATCACCACAAGTTTTTTAGTTGCAACAATTATTAATTAGGTTCAACTAGCCATAATTATCACTTGAATCAAATTTGTTAAAGAGGTTATTTAACAAGTTGCTTCTTTATTCGACAAATAAATTTAATATTTATTGTTTTATTTATAGAGGAAAGGTTTATTTCCTAATGATCTAATCAATGGAAGTCATCATGAGTAGACAACCATGTAAAGTAAACTCGTTGAGAGAAGTAGTTGAAGGATACAAAAATTACTTGTCAAGTTCAAAGTTATGTTGCTAAAGACTTCATAATAGAAGCTAAATCTTAAAGTTCTCACCCTTCACCTCAAGCACTGCACTAAGGATGATTCTAACACACTAAGTCATAAACTACTATCACACTATAATTTTGATAATAATATAGTTGAATCCTAGATATCCTCTTTCACTATTTATCTCTCTCTTCTTTTTCTCTTTTTGACTTACTCCATTATTGTTATTAGGATTTTGATGTCACATAGGAAAATATTTGAATGTATAATCCATTTACATACAGTGAGGAAAATGAGAGGTCTCTTCACATGGACTAAAACTATATTACTATCTATCTAACATTCTATTAAATTAAATGTAAAGCCATATAATAAGAATGATCAAGATAATTCTTAAGTGCGGATTCCAAAAAGAAACTCATCGTGTTAAAGGCATATCTAATTTCTCTCATAAACGACTACCAAATTCTGTAGCACTAATCTTAACTCGAACAATTAATAAGACAGCCCTTCCCAAGGAGAGTACTACTAAAATGTCTTTGTCTCGTTATGACAAATAATAACATAGTCAATCATTTAATTTATTTTCAATTTTAATAGCAGAAGCTTAACCTGCACTAAAATTAAAAATGCCAACTCTCAAACCTTACTTGGGAAAGATAAGCCCAACTAACCATATCACCCATCTCAATCCAATAACTTTTCTTCTTAGTATTAGTGATGCTCTAAAATATCAACTACTATTTGTAACATTTAGGAAAGCACTATTGAGTGGCTTTTAAGACTTTTTCCTACAAGCATTATCAAATTTATGGAAGTTAAATGAGTTTTTATTACATAATTTGCTAGCATATATAAATTATTAAAAAGTTCATAAGCTCTCTTATATATAAGATGTGAATGTGACAATTTTCTAAGTTTTGTTATTCATCTTTAATAGAAGAAGTTGAATATATAATATCTTGATATTGTAGTTACTCAAACTACACTTGAGGTCTTTAAGAAGAATCTTAGATATGCACTTATTTTATAAAAGCCAAAAAATTTATCTGAGTTATTAGAAATCACCTATAGTTACATCAACATGGAAGAATAAGAGAATGTAAACACTTACACTTTAAATGCAAAGCATCTAAAAGTCACATAAAAAATTATGATAAAATCATTAGTAAAGTCAAATATATAATTGGTGAATTCAACCCATTAGAGATAAGCACTCACTATAATAATCAACACTAGAAACAACATCATTCATATAAAAATGAATGTAAAAGTATGTTGACATAAATTGAGTTTAAACTAAACAAGTAAATTTCAATTTGATTTATTCTGGCTAAAGCAAATCAACAAACAATCTTTATATCAGAGATTTTAATTCAAAAATTTTTTAAAGGTAATGGTGCAACCAATTCAATTCAATTCTATATGTTAAATATTATTGCAACATGCTAATACAATCATGAGTAAAGTGATTTAATCATTCCAAGTATTTCACGACATAAGCGGTAAAGCATAGTATCAATTTTCATCATATCAAATAAAAAAGTATGTAAAAGTAATTAGCAGTGCAGTTAGTAAAGAAAAGTGAGACACATCAATTTATTATGGTTTATCACTAATACATATGTTTATGTTCCTACAATAAAGTCAACCATAGTAGTAAACTATCTTTTTATTTCTCCCTAAGTGATCGTAAAGCAATCACTCTCTTTGTCTCCGTATGCTTCTTAGAAAAGCCAAAGAGAACCAAAATTTGTGCTAGACAAGAAGTACCGAAGTTCGTCTTCTCATAAAAACTCTTGAAAATAATGTTCACTATTCACTAAGCTCCCTATGCCTATTAGGATGTCGCTAATTTGATAGTTTGTAATGAGTGTTGTGATAAACAAATCACATGATTGTAGGGGTCACCATTCAATGGTTATACAACTTCAATAAAATTAATAGGTCATACCTCAATAGTAGGCGCCCTTAAGGTAATGATCACAAACTTCAACTCTTTCAATTGAATTCATTTAAGGTTAGCTTGATGAGAAGACTCTTCACTAGCTTCTCTATGAATTGTTGGAACTAACCTAGTAATATGAATAACCTACACTATGATTGCTTTATTGTGAACTTCTTCATCGCGCCTTCCTTGTCCTTTTTCCTACATTAGTAAGAATGGATTTTTAAAATTTATTTGCCTTGATGAGCTCCTCCACCAACCATTGAAGGCACTGACACACCTCATTATTATAATTATGGTCATGATCATGATAATATGTTCAATAATTTTGACTGGTCATGTAGGTGGCCTTTTACCCTCATAGGTGTCAACCATATTTAACAAATCTTTATTATATATAGTTGTAATAAGATCAACCATTGAGACTCAAAGCTGCTTCATACTTTACATTGGGCAAAGTAAAGGTGGTAGTAGCCTCTCGCCATAGAAATCATCTCATCATTCTTCATTTCATACTCACCTCTTGAAGAGACAAGTTCGTTGATGTTAAATAGCTCTTCTTTGATTATGAAAAAATTCCTTGTCACCCCCAAACTCTTATAGTGACTTCTCTGGTTTGAGGGAAACTATCAAAATTTTCTTGCCAAAATAGCTCCTCTTCTTCTTCCTTCTTTTCATCGTAGAGGTTCTAGTCTCTATGTTGTATTCCTTAATGATGATTGAATTATTTGTGAATTCCATCAACTCAACGAAAGTGCCAAGTTGTTGCAGTCCAAGTGTATACTTATAAGGTCCTTTGTGCATACCTTAAGTTAGAGTAGATCAAGCCATAGTGCTCTAAGTCCTTTAAATCCAACATTTCTTTTGGAATCATATAATGAAGCTTTTGAATTACTCATTCAGTTCTTACCTAGTTTGTAGTAAGAGTTGTGAATTCTTTTGCAACATTTGCATGCTGGCGAATTTAATAAAGAACATCCTTTTTGTAACAACCAAAAAATGAAAAGTATTTAAAACAATAATTTTTTTTTTAATTTTTGTTTGAACTAGAGCGCTTTAGTATTGTGCTTGTGTGTTGTGACACTAGGTTTGAGAGAACAATAACGCTAAAAACTGTCGCCGCAGCATTTGAATCTTTGTTTCTACAAAAATTCTAAATTCTACATGTAGCCCCATTGCCTCCCTCACTCTTTACTTACTCAAGAAGAAACCGAAGAAGAAGAAGGAAAGGGGGAAGAGGAGGAAGAGAGAGGGACGAGAGATAAAGTCCATCGGGGCCTTTTCGTCCATCTTTTTTCTCTTTATTGTAAGTAATTATCATCTTACCTCTGTCTTTGATAGTTTTGATTTCTATGAATTTTATCTTTCCTAAATATGCCAAAAATACATTATCTCTTAATTTTTGAAGTTTTCACCTCGTAACTTTTGATATGTTATAGATTTGATTATTCTGAGTAATATGATATGATTTTATTACACTGTCATTAATTAAAAATGTGTATATGAATATTTTGTGAAATGAGTAGGAAAAAAAGTATAATAAGTTTAATATGATAATACTGAAATATAATATGTATTGAAATGGTTGATATGATTGATATATACTAGAATGTGATACTGATCTAATTGAAAGGACGTATTAATTAATATCAGATATATACGACATGATAACCCTACGTGATACCCTTAAAATTCACTGATGGAAGTCATAAAGAGCTGGAGACTGACTGTGAGTTATAAAAAGTCGGAGCGACTATTTCATGTGATTCAATGAAAGTTATAAGGAGGCGATTGTTAGGAGTCCTAAGTGCATGAACAAGATATCCTCATCTCAATATTTGATAGAATATTAATTATTGATATTAATTACTTATTATTGATGCTGATTACAAAAATTGATATTGACTATTGTTACTGATATTGTACGAACATTGATCTTATGGATATTAATTTTTGTTAATACTTATTATAATTGAATACATATACTAATATTAATGTATAAATGTATATTATATAAATATATAATTGATTGACTAACGAGAATAATTGAATGATATGACTAAATGAAACTAATTGAATGATAAAGATAAGAGTGATTGATTGATTGATTGATTGATTGATTGATTGATACATGTAACCAGTACATATAGCATGTATTGATTTGTATATTTCTTTACATGATTTATAATATATTATTTCCCTTTTATTGTGCATTAATTTTAATTGTATTTTTTTTTTATTTGTTGGACTTTTATGCTATTATGTAGCTTTTATATGTTTACATGAAAGGGGACCCAGTGGCATGAGGCACTGGATGACATACATAATTTTCTTTCTATACTGCTAGTTTAGTTTTTCTTTTCATTCATCTGGCTAATGTGTATTCTTTTCCAGGGCTACCGCTAATGGTTAGTGGAGGATGGCTAGTGAAGGCTGGTGTTGACTAATAGGTACCAACAGACAACAGTAGCTAATGGTGGAGAGCGATGGTGATAGTCGGCATCAATTGATTATGATAAATGAGAAAGGTAACGTTTCTAAATTAGACAATTTGTTTAAATCAACACTAAATGAACTAAATATTAAATTTCAAATACATCAACAAACTACTTAGAATTTCAAAATGTTTCAAATACATCAACTAATCATAAAATAAAAAATTTAAATATTTTTATATCTTAATGTTACACTTAAAATAATTCAAATCAAATGAGTCTTCCTCTTTCCTATTTTCTTCTCAATATACTACATACATAAATGTAATATAAACTATAAAGAGTATAATGCCTATCAAACGTTGTCTTTTTATTTCTTTCGTGTGAATGCATCACCAAATAAAAAAAAAAATTATATTATGCTATTTATATATCTAACTCTTAAAGCTTTAATATTATATGTCTACTACCAACAGCTTAAATATGAGTATAAGAAATAAAATATTAAAATTTATAGAATATTATGAGTGATAAAAATGAAATATATTAGTGATATATTTGATATTAAAATTGTCTATGGATGATAGATATGATATATTAAAAATTTAAATATTACATATATAAATAATATGATATAACAAACAAAAACCAAGTGAAATAGAGAAGCTTCGAAAATCTAACCCCATCCAAATCGAAACCCAAAATCCTCTCAATTTCGCATCTTACCTAACCCACCCAACCTATCTTTCTTCTTAAATCTTACAACAAATCTGTGGATTCCTCATTCCAAATCAAAAATTCGGTTTTTTTGTTACAAAATTCCATGGATTCAATCGCGAGATTAGGGTTTACTTTATCCCTCCTCATTCTCCTGATTCAATCTCTCTTCCCCTATTCCATCTCTTCTTTATCTCAACGCCATCTTCTCCAATTAAGCTCCCGATCCCCACAGAACCTTCAGACCTTCCCTTCCACCGCCATCCCCGCCTTCACCCATCCTCCTCCTACTCCGCCACCTCCTCCTCTTTCATCACCTCCGCCGCCGCTGCCGCCGCCGGCCTCTTCTGCTTCTGATTTGGATAACGGGAGCATAGCCGCGGCCGTGATCGGCACCGCCGCGAGCAGCTTTGCCATCTACGGATTCCTTTTCTTCGCCTTCTATCGGTTCACCAAAAAGAAGCGCCGCGGCCCGGAGACGCGCGTCTACAACTCTGATGCGGCTGCTGGCGGCAGTGATGTTAAACCTTTCAGATCAAAGCCGGAACCCACTCTCAAGGGCTTAATCGTCGACGAAAACGGCCTGGACGTGCTCTACTGGCAGAATCTTGAGGATAGAAGGCGCTGCCATCACTGCAACAGCATCGTCGAAAGAGGCCGCCACATGGAAGACGATGAGCCACCGGAGCCTCGGAGGCGCCGGCGAGGGAAGGGTGAGCTGATGACCCAAGAAAGTCCCCTGCTTCCAACCGATTCGGTTAATTCCTCATCAATGATGTTCGCTCAATCTAGGGTATCGAATCGGATCTCGTCCGCATCCATGTCCTCTCCTGAAGCAGCGTCTCATTCTCCTCCTGCCGTCCCGCCACCGGCTAAATCCCAACCGCCGCCCCCTCCTCCTCCTCCACCCGCTCCTCCTAAACCTCCAACTCCGCTGGCTCCGCCCATAAAGAACGCCCCCGCCCCTCCTCCCCCGCCGTCCCGGCGGGCAGCGGCCGCGCCTACGTTGCAGCTGGGACCGGATGGCGGAACTGAGCGGCCCAGACTGAAGCCGTTGCACTGGGAGAAGGTGACTCCGACGAGAGCCGGGCATTCCATGGTGTGGGACAGAATTAACGATGGTTCAATTAAGTAAGTTTCTAGATTCTTGTTGAGATAAAAAGTCCTGTCTTTTTGCACGGCCTGATTTTGTCAACTTCGTTTTTTGAAGGGAATCAATTTGAGCTTTGAAAACGAATAAAAAAAATTCAACTGAAATTTGATTAAAACGTTTTTTCTTCAAGGTTCGATGATGATCAAATCGAAGCTCTATTCGGCTACGTGTCCGCAAACCCAAATCCCGCCAAATCCAACTCCAGCGAATCTTCCTCCTCCACTTCCACCTCTGCCGCCGCCGCCGTTCCGACCCCAATCAATCTCCTCGACGCCCGCAAATCCCAGAACATCGCCATCATCCTCCGCACCATTGCCGTATCCCGCAATGAAATTCTCGACAGTCTTCAACACGGCCACGGCCTCGCCGCCGACACACTTGAGAAGCTCACCCGCATCACCCTCACCAAAGACGAAGAATCCCTCATCCTCTCCTTCTCCGGAAACCCTGTCCACCTCACCGACGCCGAGTCCTTTCTCTTCCACCTCCTCCAAAGCTTCCCTTCCGCTTTCCCCCGCCTCAACGCAATGCACTTCCGCAGCTGTGTCTATAACACTGAGATCCTCCATCTCAAACAATCCCTTCAAACTCTGGAGCTCGCCTGCAAGGAACTTCGCACCAGAGGCCTATTTCTGAAGCTTCTCGAAGCCATTCTAAAAGCCGGAAACCGAATGAACGCCGGCACGGCGAGGGGAAACGCCCAGGCATTCGACCTCACCGCCCTCCGCAAGCTGTCCGACGTCAAGAGCACTGATGGGAAGACCACTCTCCTTCATTTCGTGGTGGAAGAGGTCGTCCGCTCGGAAGGCAAGCGCTGTGCCGCCATTAACGCGGAAGCGGGAGAAGATAGGGAAAGGGAGTTTATGATGCTGGGCTTGCCGGTAGTTGGTGGCCTAAGCTCTGAATTCATGAATGTGAAGAAGGCAGCGGCGCTTGACTTGGACTCCATGGCAGTCACCTGCTCTGCAATGGCTGAACGAGTAATGGATATCCGGAAGTTCTTGAGGAGCTGTGAGGAGAATGAAGAGGGGTTCGTGAGGGAGATGAAGGGGTTTGTGGAAACGGCGAGTAAGGAGATAGAGGAGGTGAGAGAGGAGCAATGGAAGGTCATGGAGATTGTCAAGAGGACAACAGATTATTACCTGCTCGGAGCTGCCATGAAGGAGAAGGAAGGGAAGCCGTCGCTTCAGATTTTGGTTATAGTGAGGGATTTTTTGGCTATGGTAGATCAAGCTTGTATTGATATATGTAGAAATATACAGAAGAGGAAGAAGGAGACGCCATTAGAGAAGGAGAAGAGGATGACAACTAGGTTTCCGAATTTGCCAGCTCGTTTCATGGCAGATAATTCAGTATCTTGTTCGGATTCAGAAGAGGAGTTCTGATTGCAAGGCATTCGAGAATGCTTGCAAGGAGAGATTATTCTCTGCGGACATTGGACAAGAAGAATAGTCTGATTTTGTCTAAAAGCTAAGGCGTTTTTATTGTTTACGGAGACAAATCGGACGGTTCACCTCATATGTTGTCCGCACAGAATAATTCATCGCTTGTAAGGGCATCTCCAACCGAACGTCAATGTGGTGTTTGCAGTTTGCAGGACCGTTCAACCGAGTTGTTTTCAGGAAGTCATTTTTATGTTTTGAAAAGTTACACTGTTCACCAACACATTTACAAAAAAAATAGAGAAAGAATATACACCGGTTAAATTTTTTGTTGTTAGAAATAAAGTTTAATTGGAGATGAATTACTGTTTAATATGTTCTTTACTGTATTTTAGAGCGGAAAATAAGTTTTTCGGGTGGAGATACCCTAATATGATCATTTTACACATCATTCTTTGCATTTTTGTAGAATGGTTTTGGGAAAAAAAATATTTAGGTCAACTTGTTAAATTTTGAGCAAAATATATCTTAAAACTATTCAATTTAATTTATGATTGAATGTAATACATAAAAAATATTATTAAAAATTATTATTTATCCATCTTATAATTAATTTAATAATTCTAAAATAGGAGATCAACATACATAACATTTAAACCTAGCCCATTTATATATCTAATTTGTAAAATATCTTTTTTAGCTTTGTTTTTCTCATAAATTATCTTTTTAATTGCATAATGCTAAATTGATTAAAAAACAAGATTTCTATCTTACTCCACCTCTTTGTCACCTTGCCATCTATGTATAAGTTGTTGATCACATTGATGCTCTTTCAAGTGAGATCCTATGACTGTGTAGGTTCTATCAATTTCATTCTCTAATAAGATATCATCGTGACTTACTTCTCTTTCAACTTTGACTTTCACATCCTATCGGTCCTATATATCCCTTTCCTCGACAACATTCTCATTGAGACTTCCTATTTTCATCATTGATATATCATCAAGAAATTATCTTGATCGGGCACGAATCTTAAGGCAAAGTCAAGTCAAAAACTTCAAAAATTAAATCAGGGATCACCTGAACTTTGATTTCAGTAAACTTATAGTCGAACTGAACATCTCGGAAATACGAACCCAACGACACCAAATTCGACTCAATCCGAGCCCAAATGAGTCCAAATCAAGGACCCAAAGCGCTATTGGAAGGTTTAATCCATAATTTGGATTACCAAACAATTTCCAAATATGGCATGCTTATAGTTGAATCGAGCGGCTCGATAAGACGAATCCAATGAGCCCAAGATCGTCTAATTATGATATCGTTGAGACCTTCAAATGTCTAACAAACGATCCACGATCAAGGGATTAAATATCGGCCGTCCATCCGAACCACTCCTCATTTGTCCTTGATCCTCCTCCTATTTATGAGTCATGTCATCCTTAAAAAAACTATAAATAGCTCATCATTTCTCTTGAGAGGGGACCCAAGTAAGAAGGGGAGAAGAGAAGAATAGGAGGGAAGAAACTCCTCAACCACCGTCGGAGTTCCGCCCGACTTTCAAGTGACGTCGGAATTCTACCCGACCTCCAAGTGACGTCGGCCTCCAAATGACGCCAGAGTTCTGCCTGAATACCATCTAACGCCGGAGTTCTATTTGACGCTGGACCTCCGCTTGTCACCAAGTTTCTACCCGACGCCGACTTATGCCTGTTGTCGGACTTTCGCCGAACATCTATTCGATACTGGATTTCTGTCCATTGTTGGATTTCTACCTGACGTCACCCTTCTGACCTTTGTCGTCAGACAACAGTCCTTCCGACCTCCGTCACCCGCCGACTACGGTCCTTATGATTTACGTCGCCTACCGACTACAGTCCTTCCGACTTCCATCGCCCGCCCAACTACGGTCCTTTTGACTTACATCGCCCACCAACTTTTGACTTACATTGCCCACCAACTACAATCCTTCTGACTTACTTCGCCAACCGACTACAGTCCTTGTTACCTCTGTCGCTCGTCGACTATGGTTCTTCTGACTTATGTCGCCCACCGACTACAGTCCTTCCGGCCTCTGTCGCCCGCCGACTATGGTCCTTCTTACTTACATCGTCCAATGACTACAGTCCTTCCGACCAAGCGAATATGTCAACAGTGATTCTTTGTATTCTTATGATGTAATGTACTCTATAAGATGTACATCAAGTTAAGGCCTTCCCCCAAGGAAGGGCCTCATTTGTAATCAACTGCAATACTAGTGGATTCATTCAAACTGGGCTAGGCTCTATGATTTTTTCCCTTTTTCAGGGGATTTCAACGTAAAAATCTTGGTGTCTCTAGTGAATGACGGACCCTCTCTTTTAATCTGTGTGTGCTCGATCTTCGTACAAAGTTAAGACGTTTGACTTTATATTTCTCTACCGCTGCGAATACTCCATGACGCAACAATCATCAAGAGGTTTCGAGAAATTGGTTCCTCGTAAAAAAGTAGTATGAGTAGTTTTGATTTTAGATGGTAAATATATAATTATGTATGTTTAAATGTACTAAAACGTCTTTCAAAATATGGTTTGAAAAGTAAATTAATAAAAAAGTTATCACAAATAGACCCTAAATAAATTCATATATTTGATATATTTTAACTTTTATATATTTATAAGTTATATATAATAATTAGATGTGCAAAGCAATAAAAATTTTCCAAGTTATATATTAAGGAGTGTAATTAGCGGTTAAATTTTGAATAGAGCAAAAATATATAATTGATTTAGATTTTTATAGAAAACTTAAAATCATTTTGCATTTTCTAAAAAACTCAAAAAAAAAAAACATTATGTATAACAGATTCCTCTTCTGATATACTTCCATCTCTCTTCTTAATATGGTGAATCCAATTGCTATTCCTTCTTGCACTAGCAAAGGCATGAAAAATAAAAAATTAAATATATTTTTAAATTTGATTAAATAGTATTTAATTAATATCAAGAAAAAAATTGTTAAATTAATCTTCATTAAATATATAATAAGTTTATTTTGATTAAATTAACTATTTATTTGAATCATAATTTTAAATTAAATATATTTGAAACTATATCTTTCAATAAATAATTTAAAAAAAAAACAAATTTAACTTTAAGAAATAATTGAAAAGCTTATATCAATGTATAATTGTATACATATATTTAGAACCCGCCAGGCCGCCAACCTGAAAATGGCCTAATTTTTCCTGCGAATTGTGAGTTGGAAAATTTGATGAATGTTAAATGAAAATTAATTTTAGATTAATTAAATTTTGTTTGTAAGATAGTGAAAAAGTTTAAATGAATAGGTTTGTAAGCTATAAATGTAATTTCATTTTGCTTGAATTCTTTAAATTCTTTTAATCATTGGTTGTCTTAGCTTACTATATAATTTATTTTTTTAACCTCAATGGGTTAACCATCCACATTAGGTTAAACACATAGAAGGCGGGTCGGATTAAGGTTCTTAGTTTTAACTCATTTATTACACATGTTGATTTCAGGTTAGACAAGTTCAAAATGGGTCAATCTCAAGTCAGACTTGAAGCCGAACCGATAGCCCATTTTGATCCTCCTAGTTTAAAGAGTCAAACAAAGTTCGAGTCATCTTTAACTTAATCTTAATTAATTAATTAAGTTTAAACTTGAACTTGAGCTTAATTCTATGAGTTTGAGTCAACTCACAAGATGACTCATTATTAAGAAATAGAAAATGATTTTGATCCAATGATTGTTACAAAAAAAAACCAAGAAAAATCCAATGATTGTTATCATTACCACTACAAATGAGTTAAGAATTCTAATTACCCCACCCCTTAGCTATTTCATTAGGTTATCCCTTCGGTCACCCTTCAATACATTCATTAGGCTACCTCCATTAGGGAAAATTATTACATCCAATGTTCAGATTTGTCCGGACACCAATTCAGACACACCACATCACCCAGATACATGCGAGACCCACTATATCCGAGTGACGTGGCGTGTCTGAATTGGTGTCCGGACAGTCCAGTGACCGGACGTAATAATTCGCCCTCCATTAAAGGGCTATTCTTGTGCATTTTGACACCATGAAATGCAAGCGATCCAATACTTATATTCCACACTATTCAAGATATTCGCCTTCATGATCAATATAATTTGGCAGAAAAAATTATGTCCGAATATTCTGAATCTAGTCCTCTAATGAAGGTTTATTTTTTAAAAATAATTAAATTATTAGACAAATATAATTTCATTTGTGCTTCTCATGCATAGATGAAAATATTTTGAATAAATGGAGGTTTGATCTATAATAATAAAGTATAAAAACTCCAAATATATATATATCCAATGATGGGGTTGTTAAAAGCATGGCTTAATGATTCAATATGGAGATGTGCTAATCTTCCTAGCTTCTCTAACACTTAAAATTATGAATTAAAAGAAACCTTGCACATGAGGAGAACCTTTTCTAATCTTTGGAAGGGTTATGATAATGGCTAAAGTTAGTAGGTAGGCTATTATGGATCTAAACCTCCACCAAGATTTGTATTAGAATGCTCAGATCAAATAATTGAGTCATTTGAATCTACAAAGTTCCCTTCATCAAAAGGAAACCTAACTCCTTCCATGTACACTAGTGGCTCTTTTATTTGCTTCAAGTTACAAATTGCGTTTTGGTGGCATCAACCAACGGTAGTCGATGGTGCTTGATGGAGGCGGTGGCAACCAGTAGTAGCAATTGATGGTGTTCAATGATGATTACAATAATTAGAGATAGATGTGGCTAGCGGTGCTGGCAGCGGTTTATTTAAAGTAAATACAATGTAAAATTTTAAAGCATTTGGAATGTACTCTCCAATTTAATTTTAGTGTATCTGAAAATCATTATATTTAACCGATTTTCAAATATAGCCTTATTCTCTTTCATTGTTATTGCCACAGCCTTCAGTTGCCCCTATCACTCTCTACCGGCCACTATCATCATTGTGCTTTATGCTACATTCATTTGACTTCAATCCAAACAAAAATAATAATAATAATCACTTGCAATTATTTTATAATCATCCAAACAACTCGCATTCTTTTTACACTACATTTTATGTTACTCTATATTTCTTTTTTCAGCAAACTAAACAACCCATTACTGAAAATAAGGATCTATTTGTAAGTAAAAAATACATGGGATCAATTTTTCTAATATACAAGAATTAAGTTGTTTGGCTCTACCAAAATCTTTTGGAGTATTCAAAATGGCATTTGTATTGGTGATGAACAACCACCACTTTAGGCTTCGTTTGCGACGGCTTCTTTATTGTTTGTTAAAGCAGCTTTTTAGTACAAAAATTAAATTTTTTATACAAAAAAATCGCTTTAAGAAGCATTAAAAAAGTCATCCCAAACAAAACCTTAATAAGATTTTTGTCAATATATTTATTAAAAATGCATATCTATGTACCATTATCCATAATTAGTTGCTCAATTTTAAACACATAATAAGATAACATTTAAATTACAAAGTATCATTATATAATTCAAATAACTATGCTAAATAAGTATTTATTCGGATTATCTCCTTAAACTAATATGCTAATTAACTATAAATTTAGGGCCATATGTAAACACTTAAGCCTACTTTCAGCGCAACCCAGCCTAGGTCCAGTGCTACTACACAAAGATAGATTTCTCTCTCAATGTTACTTATAAGTGGCAGTAAAATGGTCACATCACTGGTTAATATTCTCATAATAATTTTATTTTAAGCACATTGAAATTGAGGATTATCTTAGTGATGATCATCATAAATATATTGAGAATTATAATCTTATTAAGTGCTAGAAAATTTGAGTCAGCAGAATATGTATTTTACATTTCAATGTTGTCTAAAAACTCAACATATACAAATAAAAGTAATAAGATCGAAAGCAATTTATTTGAAAACCACTGGGTCTTGTCTAATTGAAAATTTTGATATGTAGTAAGTGATACAAGAATCCTCCTTTCTTCATCGTTGAAGAAGAAGGGAATTAAACAAACATCTGATTTTCCATTGAGAATATTACATAAATCAAATGCCCACAAAAGGGCAGTTAATGCCTAATAACAGGGTTTGATTTCCCCAATAAAGATTATATAAAGCATGTGTCCTCAGGCGGACAACTATACCCAATAGCCTGATTAAATCTTGTCGGTATTCTACAGATGGTGGTGATTTCTGATGCTAATTGTCGGTGGTGATGGTGGTTGTCTAGAGCAATAGCTGGTGGTGGTCGCCGACGACGACGACTGAAAAATGCAAGAGACCTCTCTCTAGTTCTTTCTCTTATTTCTTCTCCCCTTATGTGAAGGATGTGGCTCTATTTATAAGCTTTTGGGATGTGCATAATGATAATTTGAACCATAATTCAAAAACACTACATCATACGGCCCTTATTGATTCCCTTGATCACAAAACATTTATTTAGTATCTAAGTGCCTAAATAATGTCAAAATTGAGTGATCTTGGGCTGGTTGAATTCGTCTCATCGAGCCGCTTGATTTGATTATAAGAATGTCTAATTTGGATATCATTTACTAATCCAATTAATATTTGAATTTTCCAATTATGCTTCAAGTGATTGATTGGGGCTCTTTAGACTTAGATTTTTTATTTATTTTTATTTTTTTAAAACCATTAGACTTAGATTGAACCACTTTTAATATCATTTGGTTCATCTCATTGAGACATTCAGATTGACTATAAGTTGACTAAAATTGGATTTCATATAGTATTGAATTTAATTCTATCAGTTTCCAATTTAAATTTTTGCTTGGAGATTCATAATGATCATGACAATTTTTTGTAGATATATCATTTGTTGTAAATCTAGGAGCCCGGCACTGAGTTTTAATAATTATAAATATTATTGAATATTTATTTATTTTCTCCTGATTTATATATTACTTTTTTTTTTTTTTTTTTGTGCATCACTAACATTTTAGGATATACATCAAATATCATCAAAGAATTAGAGCTCAAAAAAGTGTTGCATAGGCTAAACTATGCTTCAAAGAGTTTGTAATCTTTATTTTTCTTGAGTCTACTCTTGTAACATGTGTATGTTAGCTTAGCAACATGCGCGCACACACACACAAGGAAAGTGTGAAAAAATATTTTAATTTTTATGAAGTCCGTACCATAAAATATTCATTATATTGTATGATTTGCTTAATAAAAAATTCATTAAGTATTTAATTAATAAAAAATTTAACTAATTGTAATATATAAACATGTAATCGGATGATCATATATTTACCCTCAATTAAATTAGAAAAATATTTGAATTTGAAAAGTTAATCTATTTGTAAAGTATGAATGTTATCTTATTGTATGATGTTCTTAAAATCTTGTCTAATTTAATCCCTACGATTAAGCAATCGAATCAGAATTACTTGTGATTATGGGTCGTGCTGTAAGATCTTGAATCATATCGAGACAAACCGAAAGAGGCTCTGGATGATAATTAACCGCCTAAGGTTTGCGTGGGATAAAATACTATTGGATTGAACTAATTGTACTAAACGATTTTGAATAGTACAAAAAAAAAAATGAACTAATCATATTGTATCATACTATATGGTCAGAGTTAACAGAATTGAATTATTATAATTGATTAAGCCCACTATTTAAACTTTCTTATTAGACTTTGTAAGAGTAATAATCTTTGACAGTCAAAGGGTTGAGTCCTTTGCGAGAGAGAATTGAAAGTAAGGCTTTGAACAATGAAGTTTTCTTTACTTCATACAACTTCTGCTCCTTAGCATTTTCTTACTTTAGAGTTGCTTGTTAGTTAACCAAATAGGTTTTATCAAGCTTAATAATGAGCTACTAAGCAAGTTTAAAATGAGATTTTCACTAAACAAATATTTTAGCGAACACAAACGAATTAAAATAATCTTATAGAAAAATGAAATGACTTCTTATATAATTACATAAATTTGTAACTGAGTTCAAATAAGCATATTATTCAAGATTTTCGCATTCATGATCAATATAATTTGGCAAAGAAAATTTATATCCGGATATTCTGCATTGAATCCTTTAATGAAGATATTATTTTTAAAAATAACTAAAGTATTAGACAAATATAATTTCATCTGTGCTTCTGAAGCACAGATGAAAATATTATGAATGCTGGGAGGTTCAATCTATAATAATAAAGTATAAAAACTCCAAATATATAAATCCAATGATGGGGTTGTTAAAAGCATGGCTTAATGATTCAATATGGAGATGTGCTAATCTATCTTCCTAACTTCACTAACACTTAAATTATGCATTAAAAGAAACCTTGCACATGAAGAGAACTTTTTCTAATCTTTGGAAGGGTATAGTAATGGCTAAGGTTAGTAGGTAGGCTATTATGGATCTAAACTAAGGGTGTAAGTGAGCCGAGCTGGCTTGAACTCTACTCGTTTATAGGATCGCTAGTCGAGCTTATCAAGCTCACGAGTCGAGCTCGTTCGAGCTTGATAAGGCTCGGCTCGCGAGCCGACTCGAAATTATTAAATTTAAATATTGAAAATAATAATAATAATGATGCCATAGGTATAGCTTAAATTTTTTGCCGGTTGAAGTTTAAAAATCCTGCTTGAAATCTTGGAAAACCAACCGAAATCTCAAATGCCCCCTCTCTCTCTCTCTTCACTAAATTGGCCCTCTTATCTATAATAAATTCAAAAACGGCTAACACTCATTTCCTTTTCTGACAAAACTAAAAAATGCTCAAATCTCAATATCATCTCTCTCTCTCCCGCCTCAATTTTACTTTTAAGGCAAATTAAATCTGTGAGATAATTTTTTGGAAGATTGTGCCACGCGTGTTGTAAGGCGAACCGGACCATGTTTGGGGATCGACGAGCGGCTCGAGCTCGGCTCAATTTTTGAGCTCGACTTGTGTTCGAGCTCGAGCTCGATATTTGACAGTTGAGCTCAACTCGAACACCTTCTGACTCGAGCTCGACTCGACTCGTTTGCACCCCTAATCTAAACCACCACCAAGATTTGTATTAGAATGCTCAGATCAAATAATTGAGTCATTTGAATCTAGTTAAGTTCCCTTCATCAAAAGGAAACATAACTCCTTCCGTGTAAACTAGTGGCTCTTTTAGTTGCTTCAAGTTAGAAATTGCATTTGAAAAATAATGTTTTTTGTTAAGGACAATTTGGGATCGCTTTATATTTTCTTAATATTTTTTTTGTTTTGATCAGCTTATATTTCGATATGAAATGAAAATATGTTCGATATTCTAAATGTGTTATTTTTTATTGAATTTTGAATATTAAAAAAAAAAGTGGAGAATGATTTTCGATGATTGCTACTAGTTTTCGGCCCACTGTCACAACCGGTCTAAGGTGACTGCAAGCGATCGATGGTATCTGGTAGTTGGCTTCGATGGTTTGGGACGAATAAGATAAGCAGTGTTCAGTGGCATCGACCAACGACGGTCGAGGGTGTTTGATGAAGGTGGTGGCAACCAATAATTGTGATGATGATTTTTTACGATGATTACAATAATTTTCTCATAAATGTGTGCAACCCTTTAGGAGAGTTGGATAAATTTTCTTATGCCCTCTTTTGTACTTAGAGACTAGAATATTCTCTTATTTTAACCTTAAATACCTCCCAGCTTGACTGCCCCCTAATCCTAGGATTTGAATTGGTATTTTGCATTTTGGTCATCCATCTTTGCCAATTTGCACTCCATGCCAAGAGGATTCAAGAAAATTATTTTAATACCTTAGTTAAGAAGTATCTCCTACATCAATAAACTTAGAATACTTCACTATTTTATCTAGTGCGTAGTGCAAAACTAGAATTCGTTGCTAGTACAGATTTCACAGAACGAAGGTTTTGAGTTTTCTAAGCATAAATTCTCCACCAACTTTCACGAGACTATTTTCCTATAATCTATTATAGGTTTTGGCATTCTTGTACACAAGAGTGCCTTAGAATAATAAGACATGCATGCTACAAGAATTACTTCAGTAAGTAACTTCATTTATAAAATCTTTAGTATTAGCAAACCTGGTTGGTGTAACTGTCCAATCGCCTCCTTCACTGATACAAAGCGTGAAGTAGAGTTTAGGATTGGTCTTTAGTCCAAGCTTCTCAAACAAAGCCTCTGAGATCATATTTGTTTGGCTTCCCAAGTCAACGGCCCTCGACGATCAATGATGAAGCGGCAAGGAAATCGATGGCTTGTGTGACTGAAACCTGTGGCTGGGTTTAAAGAACAAAGATGGGGTTATGGCTGAGTTTGAACAACAATAACAAGCTTTAGAATGCTTTTTGGAGGCTTAGCAAGGAGAAAGTAAAAGAAAATAGAATATATTAGTATACAATGTTACACAATATATACATTCTTATGTTAAACTTTACTCATTTACTTTTTCAATGAAGCTTTCTTTTATTCATTTTTTACTCAAATCAAAGAATTAAAATAAGAGAGGTGAAGGAATAGAGAGAGAGAGAGAGAGAGAGAGAGAGAGAGAGAGAATATCTAATGAGATAGTGAGAACATTTAAGGTATGCAAAAAGTGTATCATGTAATTTGTATCAAGGTTAACAAATATCTCTCTTTGCGGCCAAAAATTTAAGTTGATCTCATCAAATCATGTAAAATTTTGTCATATTTTTATAGTTTGTTTCTTGCAAGATTGTGGTTTGTACTACTTGGATATAAGCTTTTCTCAATAATTGCTATCAAAAGCTTTGGTAAAACAACCATTAAAATAAATGAGAAGATCAAAATCAACAAATTTGATGGCAAAACTTTGACTACTGAAGAAAGAAAAATAGAAGATCACCTCTACCAAAGAAATGTTCATCGACCTTTGCAATGATCAAAACCTTTTGCCATTAAATCAAGAAGAGTGGGAGGTTATATATAAACAAGATATAGGACTTACCCACATGTCCATAACCATGAATGTTGCCTTCAACATTCTAAATGAAATATCCACTACAAGCAAAGACAAGTGAAATCCCTTTAACTTCTGCTTCAAAAGATTCGTAACCAACCTCTTCATGTTATGATGCAGGTCCACGATAAGAAGTTAAAATAGTTTTGGAAAGGTTTTAAGAACTTTCGTAACCAACCTCTCTGATTTCATCTTCTTGTTGCAGTACTTGGAACATCAACTCAATTTCAGACTTCTCCTCTACTGGACAGTAGTTACCATAGCTGAATCCCCATCAAGCTAGCCAGGATCATTCTCAGGCAAAAAGCATTCTCATCTAGATTGCCAGGATTGCAACAATTCTTAATTTTTTTGGAGTTATTATATGCTGGACAGAAGTGCAGCTTGCTGTTTTCCCCTTCTCACCTACTGTAACAGCAAACAATGCTTCGTCTTCTATCCTGCAGGTGTGGAACCTGGAAAGCAACCAGCTGTTGTACGAGCTCCTGTTTTCAATAAAACAGCAAAACAGCAGTTGTTTTTTCCCTCCTATATAGTCATGGCAGCAGCAGGTTTGCTGCGACCAAAGCAGGTTTGATACCGCCACAGTAGGCTGACAGATGTATCTAGCAATGATTAGAACTGTTGGAGATGATAGCAGCACTGTTTGACAACTGCTGGAGTTCCTATAGGCAGCTGGAGAGGAAGTTAAAGATAATTACAAACGCAATTTTTCTTAATCCAAAATTAATAAAAAAATCATCCAAAACAAATTCAATGTTCAAACTCATATATATCTTTTTGCAATCAGAATATTGATCTAACGTCTAGACTTCTTGACTCCCAAACCAGAACAGGAAAATTTGTTTCCTCTTAAACATGAACAAATATGTAGTCCTTAGATTTAGTCGCATAATTTGACAGTCTCAACAGTTATTCTCTTTCCTAATTCCATGATACTCTACTGCCAATGTAGCCTTATAAAACCAAGGGTGCACATGCACAGCTACCTGACTACCTCTCAAGTTTCTATTTGCTCTTTGGACTAGCCATGTAGTGAAAGCTCTCTTAAGCGATACTAGAGGATCAACATGTCTTATTTGGGAGATGGGAGAGCAGGAGGTGGTTGATCAGCATTTGTGAGCACTGGCAAATAATAAGAGATTTGACAAGAGGAGAACACAATGACGAGAAAGTGGTCAATGCTACAATATCTTAGCAAGATCAAGTCTATCGTTGATCAATGTCAAGGCTATCACAAAAGCAGTCAGTGAAGGAGATCTTCTTGGGAGATTTGCTAGTTAGATAAAATTGTCGATGGCTTGATTGGAGGAAAATGCTCCTATCGAGAATAGCGACTTAGCAAAGAAGGCTTGAGGCCAAAAAGGCATCAGCCGTAATGAGAGCCAATGGCCGCTAGGGGTCTTCAATGAAGCAGGCGCCAGTGGTTAAGTGACAATGAGATTAATGGATTATGTGATTACAACCACCAATTGATTTTGAAGAAAAAAAATGCTGATGTGGCTTGTTTTGAAGAACAGGGACGAGCTTTAGAAGGTCTTCATTGTAAATTTAACTAGGAAGAGAAAGAAAAAAATATATAATATATGATTATAAGGTTATAAAATACATATTATTTTATTATCCTTTTTTTGTTACATTTTCTTTGAAGCTGCCTTAATTGTTTTGTCATAAAAAACCAAAGAAAGATAAAAATAGAGGTGAGAAAATAAAGAACAAAGAGGAGAGAGAAAGAAAAATCTAGTGGCGTAAAATAACATTAATTTTCCGTATTGTTTTTTTGTTGAGTTTCCTTGGAAGCTATTCCATTTTTCACTGCCTTTTATTGCTCTTGGGAGCATGCCTTTCCCCAACATTTGCTACTTCAACACCTCTCAACAACGATGGCAAAGCCGAATGTCATCAAGTTGGACATTACCAAGTGTTGAAAGAGTGACAAGGAAGGCTTGGAAGGAGGGAACCTTAACTGGTATTAGGCTTTAGTTCAAGGCCGGATGCAGGTTAGCAGGAGATATTAATTTGGTTTTCAAAGATGATTTTGAAAAAGAAGTTAAAAAACATTAACTCTTGAGTTTATGACTAGTAAATCCCTGGTAAATCTAGCATATTAAACAAGAAATATATTAATTTAATGAGGTTTTACACATTTAATATTTGAAATGCAACGAAAAAAACATGAATTAAGTGAGATTTGTCTTAGATTACTGCCAAAATAATAAAAACAACAAGACCATAGGTGCTTACCACTACATGCAGTAACGTACAACAAATATTTCCAGTAATTCGAAATGACTGACGCTGCAAAATACCAAACAAACAAATATGAGAATTTCCTCAAACGATCCTTAGTGAAACCTTTTTTCTCTTTAATTCATGCAAGCACACTACTTGATACGTGAGTGACATGAAAATAAACAACATAGTAGTTTACATGTTGGGACTAAATTAAAAAACAGGGTCTAACAATGCATTGAGCTATCAAAAATTGGGGTAAAGGGTTGCAAAAAGTAACTAGTTATTCCATATAACGATGATCATGAAACATCTAAAAATTGTAACTATCTGCAATAAACTATTTATAAAACAAGAAAATAACAAGTTTTGAGATGCAGAGAAAGTTGGATGATTATCTTACAGCAGATTAGTTCTGAAAACATAGATGTTGCAGCGCACTTAAAGAGATCTCCCAATATCACAAAACTAAAGCAGCAATAATGCACACTTGGAAACAAAAGCTGAAACTTCTGAGTCAATCATAATCTTCTTTCATCACCATTAATTTGACCCTGAGGCTCAAGAAATCAGCTTTGCTCATAAGCAAATAATAATAATGTGCAATGATGACTATGGATATGGTATTGCAGCTTTGCAGAAATTAGCTCTCAATATGAATAGTTGAGATCACTGAACCTTCTAGCCACCCGTTTTTGAGCTATATGTTTTATTTGTACAATGGACTAGATAAAAAGTTTGGTTGAAGAGTATGAAGAATCTCAAGTGATCGCTGATCCTTGTGAGTTGTGAATACTTGGCAACAAGCACTTCTATTATAAATTAAAAGGAATAATCCTTCAAATTTTCATACCAAACTATGTTGCTTAATGACCAAGAACTTATGACTTCATATCACATAATGGCATGCTACTCTATTAGTCCATGCCTTCAAATCCTTGAAGCACCAAACCACTCATTTTTTCATAGACTTGACTAGCTTCAAGATGGTACCCTCCCTTCCTTAGCTCTATCAATAACGAATAGTACATGGAATGACTTCCAACAAGACCTTTCCTTAACATTTTCTCAAAAACCTTGTATGCCTCTACAATATTCCCCCTTTTACAATATTGTTTAATAATTATTTGAAATGGTACATGGTCAAAGGATGAACAGAATGACCTTTCTAACTTGATAAGTATATCTTCAGCTTTCTTCATGTCTCCATTTAAACAGTGGCCTCTAATTAACTCAGTGTGCGTGATAATATCAGGTTCATAGCCTCGGTTTAGCATCTCATGAAGTAAATTCCTAGCATGAGTAGTACAACCAATGTTACATGCAGCTCGAATTAACAGGTTAAATGTAACTAAATCAGGATACAGTCCTCTAGAAATCATCTCTTCCTTCAAAGATATAGCTTGAGCTATTTTCCCTCCTTTCAACTCAGCAAGGATTAATGCATTATAAGTGTATGTATTGGGAAGCACACCCCATGATGCCATCAGTTTTCTCAACAAATTAGCTCGGCGAATATCACCATGTCTTGCATATCCATTCAGGACCAAATTCCAAATTAGAGGTTCTGGAACCATCTCATCACTTAACATATTTTGGAGATACACAAAAGCTCTGCATTGTGCATCATGCAAATAAAGACCTCGAATGAGCAACCTATATGAGATATGATCTGGCAAAACACCAAAAAGCACCATTCTCCTGTGCATTTCACATGCTTCATCAATATCGCCTTCCTTAAAATGACCGGTTATAAGAGTATTGAATGTCACAATATCAGGAAGAAACCCCCTTTTGCACATTTCACATATGTATCTATATGCAAGATGTATATTTTGGACCAATGAAAATCCATTAATGAGCACATTATATGCAACACGATCAACACTTAATCCTTCCTTAAATATATCACTCCAGAGCTCCAGCGCGTGTTTCAAATCTCCTCTCCGACAACTTCCATCAATAAAAATTGTTTTGGTTATTAAATTAGCAGCTATATTTTGATCTAATATCTCGTCCAAGAGCTTCTTCGCTCTCTCTAGAAGTCCCTCTTTGCACAAGGCATGGACAAGTATATTGCAAGTAACCACACTGGCTTTCACTCCATATTGATACATTGATGAAAACAAATGGAGAGCTTTGTCTATATTTTCTGAATGACAATATCCATCAATAAGCATGTTGTATGTTACATTAGTAGGGGAAACTCCAGCTTTCGGCATCACATCTAGAAGCCAAGCTGCAGTCCATAAGTCACCAATCTTACAAAGAGCATTCATAAGGATATTACATGTATACAAATCTGGCATAGCATGACTCTGTAGTAACTTGCTATGTAGTTGTAGAGCATCTTCTACCTTGCCTTTGATGCAGAAATTCCTGATCGCTAGACAATCACTCTCAGAGGCAGGTTTGAAGTTATGATTGAAATTCAAATTAATTCCCACTCCTCCATATAAATTACATCTACCAACAAAAAATATACTTTCCCTGCACTTTCAAGCAAAAAATAAATGTCAAAGTCACCACAAAAATTCTTTAGAGATTCTAAATTTAAAAAAAAAACTATAGGATCATAAAAGAAAAAAACTGGGGTTGCTCGGTTCGTTGAAAACTACAACAATTTAAGATTATGTTGTTAGCAAATGTCAGTTGTTTGGTTCATTGAAATCTTTAAATAACAATTTCAAAGAACACATTCACGCCATTTTTAATTGTATCTCAAGTTTGCAAAGTCTATCGACATCAAGATTTTAGGTTTTTTAACAACTAAGATAAATGACTATTAAAATAAGATCAAAATCATCCTAATATTTCTTAGACAACATTGCGTTATTGTACCATTGAATCAAAGAAGCCCTGAGAAGGTCACAAACCTGGAAGAAATCTCAAAATGCCTGAGAAGTTTTAATGCATGATCCAAGGAAATACGTGTCATTCAGTTATCACACAAAGCTAGAATCTGAAACAAACCAATATAAAAAAAACCAACCTCATTTTCCTCAGCCGCTCCATAGTCCCAACAATGACCGAATCCAATACATCGAAAACAAAATTTGGATCTCCATCATCCTCATACTTTTGATGCTTGTCCCGCTTCAAGAACCACTCTTCCGGATTGATTCGGAATGGCTCTTCGACACTAAGTACAACGCTATCAACCACAGAAGGTGGCCGCCGCTCATTTGTCCTACAGCTCCAAATAGCAAGATTTCGTTCAATCGAAACGTTATGAAATCGATAGAATCGAGAACTATAAATCACTCCGGTAGATAATTATTAGCAAACATGCAAACAAAACTACCTCGAGGGGTGAATGGGGTGAGATTCTTGGCAGAAAAAACATCCTAATGCCCGGATAAGAAGGAAGTTTCTTAGATCCGAGCAAAATGTACGAATTATGTGATGAAAATCTTCTCCCACGACGATTGACTGAAATGTTTCCAAGTGAGAAAGACGAGAATATAGTAATATGAGAAGATCTTTATGAAATGAAAAATGATAAATAAGGTAGAGTCAATGATTAAGAGGGGGGAACAGAAACGCACCACCATTTGCTAAAAAGAAGGAGAAGGAAAGAAGCGCTGAAGGGAAGCAACCTATATACGACGGTGGTGGAGGCGTCGAGCGTCGAGCGTCGAGCGTCTAGCGTCGAGCGTCGAGCGTCGAGCGTCGAGCGCCGGCGAGAGGAACGGATTAGAGCTAGAGACTAGGGCCGCAGGCGGCTGTTATTCGGGTTTCGGGTAGAGAGGCGATTCAAGTATCCTGGGCCGTTGGATCAGATATACAGCATGTAAATACATATTAATAATATTTTGGGGATTTACTTACATATTATTCATCACTATATGATAGTTATAATGTCACATGAATAATAAAAATAAAACTCATTTAGCAAATAGCATTTATAGAGATCAGCTGCAGCAAAAAAGATTTCATTGCCTTACTTGGGAATAAAAGAAAGGAGATGAAGAGGAGGAACTTTTATTTCGTCCGGTGTAAGGATGCAGAGGAATATCCGGTTGTAGGCAAAATCACGCCTATACCAAGGTGTACCGAGTTTTTTCAGTATAGGCGCGATTTTGCCTACAACCGGATGTTCCTCTGCATCCGGTCGGAGGACGTAATAATTCTTCGAAGAGGAGAGGAGAGAGGAGATCTTTTGGAGCATTTTCATTTGTTGGATTTATTATGTGATATTTTTTATTATGGTAAGTAATCTAAATCCTATCCTTATTTTTTAGTGATCATGTATTTTTTTATTTTAATCTTCTAAAAATTGATAAAAGTATTTTTTCTTGATTTATCAAGCTTTAACCATATAACTTTATATATGTGATAGATATAATTTTTATGGGTATTTTGACAGTAATATTATTTATTTTCATCAGATAAATTAATAGTTATAATTTTTATGTTAATGAATATTATACAGACTGTTATGCATTTTATATATGATATTGCATTACATATAAAAAATGATACAATTGATACATGACGAATGTGACATTTACCTCACATTTACATATAAACAATGAAGGCTGATTGTGAACACTAATTATTATTGGTTGAGTATTAAAATGATAATATCATGTCCAAGAGGGTGGATCGATGAGCTTTCCTTAAAATAAGGGTTTGTGATGTAATTTTAGATATTATCATGTAAATGATTGGCTGATTGTGTCAATAGACAGAGAGTGATGACTCTTTATTAATTTATTAAAAGACATCTATTAAAATAAATGATTGATATAACTAATTGAAAATTTTAATTGAGTGATAATGATGGATTGATTGAGAGATGAACAATGGATGTTGAAAATGCTACATTAAAGTTGAATATCCTATCTTGCTAAATCATATGATATTGATGCATACTCTGGCATTATTAGCATTGATAGCACATGAATAAAAATATATGATTGCATACATGAAATGATAAATAAGGATAAATAGATGAATAATTGATTATTTGCATAGTATTTTGATATGATACATGTACATTCATGATTCATCTAACTGATATAATGATAATATAGCATAACTGAATACAAGCATACATCACTGGTGTATATTATGCTATAGATTTATAAATTTTTTATAAATTTTAGTGACATGTGATTTTTAACCTTTACCCTTTACTGATCATGTTGACTTATGTTGTTCATTGATTGATTGTTATATTTATATATTTTTTTGCATAGATCATAATGATTGATTGATGCATATCATATTGATCATATTATTTTGCATTGATTATTTTGGTAGGTTCTAGTAATCTGCTTGGCTTTATAAGCTCATTATTATGGTTTGATTGATTTCAAGTTTGGGAAGCAAATCACTAGAGCGAGATTGATCAAATTCAGAGTTGTAGGTTTAATTATTTATTTTTCATTTTATTTTAGTCTTTGTAACCATAAGGGTTATGATCTATTGTTATTTTTAGTTAGACTTATGGATATTACATATGGATTTTGATTTGTGATGTATATTGACAGATGACATGATAAATAAATAGAAGCTTTCACTATTTAAATTTACATAAAGAAATTAGAGACTTTGATAGATTGAATAAGGAGAAAATAGACAATTATTCTAATTTTGTTCTTGATGTGTTACATCTTTGATCAATAATTCAATCGTTAAAATAAAAAAAATTATTGGATACAATTATATGACTTACTTGTCATTAATGTCATGAGATTATAGAGTATAATGATATTTGATTAATCCTTTATAATAGTTCATTAATATACCATTCTAACAAAAATAATTATAACCCCTTCATTTTTTATCAAGTATATGAAGAGGGAGTTTGTCTCCTCATAGATTATGCTAGTATGCACCTAATGTATATAATTAGCATAGGCATTTAAAGCACAAATATACTTAGATTGATTTGTGATGTAACTAAATAATTTATCCCATCATGTCTCCCTTTAATTTCCTTTATTTGATAGAGTTCAAGTAACCTTAGGAGGAATTTCTCAGTTAGGAGACTTATATCCTCATTAATTTGTCCTCTATCATACAATTTGATTATAGTTTGGGGTGAATTCTTTGGTATAGCTTAAGCTATAAACCTATTATGATTTTGATCCTAATTTCACATTTTGTTAGCATATTATGGCTGAAGAAATTAAAATTTGGACTTATATTATTTTCATCCTAAAACATGGCCTAAAGCATTATGTTACTAAGTGGATAATCTTGTTAAACATATTTTAAACCATTCCCAATTTAGCTCAGCATAAGCTTAGTCAGGGTTACTAAATCCTAAAAAATAGTTATGTCTTTGTTCCTTATATATAAATATATATATATATATATATAAGTATTCGCTCTGCCAAGTTATGGGTTACCTCAATAGAATTGGATTAACCCTTAAGGGAGTCATTTAGTAGGAAAAACTTGTTTTTTTAGTTTATCTCATTTTGGCTTTGTTTAGATTATCAAAATCAAACACCATCACTTTATCTAACATCATGTCAGCATACCCTTATTTAAATAATCAAAATTTATCCTTTGGGACCTTCCTAGATGTAGCACATCTCAAGCTTGATAAAACTTACCAAAATAAAAAATTTAATGCAACTTTGTCACTTTGTAAATTTCGCTATTAAGGTATAGGTCTTGAATATGATAAGTGTTCCAACTATTATTTGTTCATAGCTTAAATAGTACATTATGATTATGTTTCCCTAGTTTACTTCACCTAAAGTTTGGCTTGCATTACCAAAGCCAAATAATATTATTTTTTCCTATTGTTGTATAAGAGGGACCCCTCTTGCATTAATTAGTTAATGCTTGACATCCATGTTTTGGGTTTTTATGTCTTTCTTTTGTTGTCCAATGTAATTCATTCCTAGTGAAGTGAAAATTCCCCAAAAAATGATGAGCCAAAGATAGTATTGATAGATATTTTTTATAATGATTTAGAGAGAATATGTTTAACACCTTAAAAAACATTCAATAAAAAATGACAATTTATTAACATGATCCCAACTAATTGGGATAAGGATCATCCTGATGATGAAGAATAATAACAGTGAATGTACATGGCAGAGTCTGAAAATTTTTTAATTTGAGGCAAATATAACTTACTCTTCATTCATGACTTTCACTGTTTTTCATCTTCTTCCTCTCATTTTGATTCCAATTATCTTCCAACTAAGGCTTCGTTTTGAACAGCTTTCTTAATGCTTCTTAAAGCAGCTTTCTAGTATAATTTTTGTATTAAAAAACTGATTTAAGAAGTAGTAAAAAAGTCATCCCAAACGAAGTCTAAAAAAGAACTCTGAGAGAGAAGAGAGAGAGAACTAAGCATATATTTGTTTTCAAAGAGAGATCTTTCATTTAAATGATTATTATCCATTACATACTATAAAATCATTCAGCATAAACATCATCACTGGCTTAGTAGTAACACAGATTCAGTTCTTAAATTCAGAGCCATTAAGCCTTCGTCTGAGCAAATTATACCTCCGAGCTTGCCTGCAGAGAAAGAGTGAACAAAATATAACGAACAAAGTAAAATATTCAGTTCAAAATTATATAATTTTGATCTCATATAGTTCATATTTTTTGCTACCTCTGCAGTTCAATGCATTCTGATGGCCGAACAGTAAACCGAGGACCCTCATCGTACCCTTCACAGACTAATTCTCCTTTCTCATCTCTGTAGCATTTCACACCAATCTCTCTGTCCTCAAAAACCTGTCTTCCAACAGTTTGAAGACCAAATATTTACAAGAAAAAGAAGGTCAAATTGATCTTTAGATAGATTATTTACAGGGAGCCATTTTAGTCCCAGGCTCCCTGATATATCAAATTTAGCTCTTTAAACTCCTCAAATCCAATCCAAAATAATTCATAAAATAGAATAAATTTCTTTCTTTTCAACTCAGACTTCGTTTGGGAAGACTTTTTTATTGCTTATTAAAGCAGCTTTTTAGTACAAAATTTAAATTATTGTACTAGAAAGCTGCTTTAATAAGATGTAAGAAAATCGTAGATAACACTAACCTGCTTTCCTAAGCTGAATCTTTCTCCATGACTTGAAGAAGCTTCAATCTTAAGATTACAATTACAAATCACTGTAGTTCTCAGTGAAACCAAACAATTCTTTCCATTGACGGGAAAGAAAGTATTGGAGAAGGAGAATCTGATTGCCATGAAATTTTCAGAGAGAAGAAAGTAGCTGTGAGGATATAACAAATAAATGGAAGAAGGGATGATAAAGCTGGATTTTGGTTATTGTTTATTGCACCTTATGATTTCATTTTAGCTATTTTTTAACATTTTTGTTGTCTTATAGTTGATTGTTTTGTTGAATGCTTATATCTTATTGGAGCAATGATGATTATTTTTACTTCTATAGTATTATTAAGTGAGGTGTGGAAGTTTTTCTTAATTATTTATTCATGTTTTCTTGTGAATGTTGCATCATCATGTTTCATCTCTTGTCCTTTGTGGCCCATCATTTTGTGGTGATAAAGAAAAGAATGACATTTGAATATCTTGATATATTTTTATATAAGATAAGAAAACTTGTGGTTGTAAAGATTTTAAATTTAGGCTTTGTTTGGGACAACTTTCTTACTATTTTTTTAAAATAACTTTTTAGTACAAAATTTAAATTTTTGTACTAAAAAGTTGCTTTAAGAAGCAGTAATAAAGTCATCTCAAAAGAAGCCTTATATCCTGCCAATGTCAAATGTGTCTTATGATTTTTCTATTTTAAAAAATAGAGAGAAAATAAAATTTGTGTCTTGTGGAATAATTTGTATAAAGTAAATGTAATTATTCTTGTAGGTGAAGGATGGGGAAAAAATGATATTAAATAGTTAGAGAAAAATTAATGATGTTGATTATGATCTTTATGATTAAGCCAACAACAATTTCAAATTTACAAAAATGACAATTTTTGGCTGAAATAATGAATAAGAATTATATTATGATATTCTAATAATTACATCAAGATAATAAAATAACAAATTCAAAGTTATGAGACATGATCAAATTTAGAAGACTATATATATATATATATATATATATATATATATATATATATATATATATATACACACACACACACACACACTTACATATATATACATATCGACTATAAAATTTAGGTTAATTGATAAAAAATAAGAAGATGGTAAAAAAAACAAAAAAAATTCAAGGAAAATAATTAAACGGATCACTTTTGGGTTACTTTGAGAGTTGTGCTGTTTATGAAGAATTTATATTGCAGTAGTCTCGAAATAATTTTAATGATTTTAAAGTTCATCCTTGAACAATATAAACTAGAATATCCTCACATATTTTATTCAAAAAAAGATATTGAAAATGAAGAAAATTTTCTTATCAAAACTCTTTAATTTTGATGTGACCTTTTGTTGGATTGGATACTCTTCGAGTTTTGATAGATTCGTTAAGATAAATGAGATATCAAGTTTCGTAACATATCATAAAATATATTCATATAAAAATATCAAGCAGTTGACTCTCACTTCGAAAGGTAAGATTTTAAGTCGAAAATCAATTTTCCTATTAGTATATTTGACTAAACTTTAGTCATCTATTATTTTCATTTCCCTAATTGTTGGATCTGATGTTGTATGTGGAAAGATGTCAAGAGCTTATAGGCAATATAAATGAAGTCCAATGAGCAAAAGGGAATGATAGAGAGGTCAGATCTCAGTGATTATCTTGGTAAATTATAATAAAGCTTTTTCTATCAGGAGAGTATTCTCCACCTCATAAATAAGGATTATTCATATCCAAATATGTACATCTCATTTTTTACTTTTAGAGCAAAGAGCTCCCTTCAATAAGTTTTTGCAAATAGATAAGGAGTGCCAAAGCCAAACAATCAAAAGAGAATTATAGCCTTTAAGAATATGGGGGAGAATTAAGGTTGTTGAACACTTGAATAGTCAACAATAGAGGATTTCAGACTTTGGGAAATTTTAGGGAGAACTCTTTTTCTTTATAATGATTGTCTATCATCCTTATCCCTTCCTTCAAATGCTTTCGTCAACCTTCTCCATTATGCTCCTTTGAAAATTCAAATTCCACTCTTACATTTTCTATGAGCTCACTCTAGTGAGTATGAATTCAAATTGGGGCAAAATTCGAGTCTTGTGAGTTTCATTCGACACAAAATTATAGCTATATTTGAATTGATTATCAAAATTGATCTGAAATAATGAAAACTTGTAAGTTTTAACTGAAACTTAAAATCATGATATGATGGATGTTTGGTATTTAATTTGATTGTATTTTATTATTATTTATCTATGCTTAATTAAAAGATATAAAACCCAAATAACTATATAATCTTTTTTTATGAATGAGTATAAAGGTTTTGTGCCATAACATTATGGATGATAGAAAAATATTGAGAGTTTATTGTCCTAATTTTGTATGAAAATTCAGCACATATACAAAATAAGAGAGAGGAGTGCAAAAGTCATAAGAGACTAGCATTTTACATGAAAAAACCCTAAAAGGGAAAAAAACCCTGAGGCCTTGCCTAATTAAAATGATTCCATTAGTGTTTTTCATTGATTAGAAATGATGTCCTTCCTTAAGGGAAGATATTGGCACAATGTAGCAAATATATATCATATAGAGCACATTACACAGGTAGAATTGAAAGAATCTAATGGCATGAAAGCTATTTTTAAGAGATCGATGGCATGCTTATTTTGTCGATAGAATCATAGTCGAGCAACGGTGGTTAGATGATGTAGTTGGGTAGTTGAGGTCTGAGGGATTGAAGTCGGACGATGGTGGCCAAAAGGACTGTAAACAGGCGACTAAGGTCGAAGGGACTATTGTCAAGCAATGGAGGTCGTAATAAGGTGACAGTAGTTTGAGGATCATAGTCGGACAATGGTGGTCGGTGGGATAATAGTCGGGCGACGATGGTCGGAGGGACATTGTAACACCTAAAAAAATAGTGTACCTTTTAACTTGTTATAACCCAAGCAAATTTAACGTAATCCATTAAATTTATGTGTATAACCCTTTCAACATGTGTCTGAGAATATGATGTTTGCGTGTATTCTAAATTGGGTCCCGAAGGTATATTTGCATGTTTGAATAATTCTGATTTTTTCTCCTCGGGTGCCCCAGTGATGGGGTTAGAGGCTCTCTAGCGCCTATGCTCTCAGGAATTTTAAAAGAAAAATCATCATTACAGCAGAGCCCTGCATTGGGTACCCATACCCACACCCACCCATGTACCCACCCATACGGGTGGGTATGGGTACGCCCATGGCCTTATGGGTGGGTATGGGTGGGTACTCAACATAAAGGGATAAATCAATTTGCATTGATAATCATCGTATATCTTATATTAATGCAATCATCATTACGTAATGTGCAGCACTTAACCACGCTGTGACTACAATAAATTCTGATATGCTTCTTAAAAGTTTACAACCATAGCAAAAGGGAAACAAGCCTCAAGGCCATCAATCTGTGGCAAATTGCACTCAAAAAGCATGGAATGTGGGTGGGTATAGGTGGGTATGACATCCCGAAAGTCACCATGGGTGGGTGTGGGTGGGTGAAGCCCGTCCGAGTAAGGCATGGGTACCCAATGGGTACCCAACCAGGACCCCATGTAGGGCTTTGCATTACAGCGCTGGGGTGGAGCTACGACACTGTGGGCTCTTTTAGAGAGCATCGTGGTGGACGCAGTGGCAATAAGCCACATTTTAATATTAAAACTATCAATTTTCACTATTCATTCCATTCATTCTCCTAAGGTGGAAGCCATGTTTTACAATAAAAAGATAGATTCCTAGAGAGAAAGCAAGATTTGGACTACTTTGGGTCATTTTCAACTAACGATCTAGTTCTAAATATTTATTTGGTGATAATTGTTAATTATGTTATATTTTTATATATGTTTTTATAAGTTCAAATATGTGGTTTTAATTATTTGTGTGCAAAAGAAATTCAAAATGGAAAAAAATCTAAAATAGAGTACAGCGTCGCGGTGTCCACAATATCACATCATAGTGCCATCTTCCACACCACCAAGGCAACATACTTAGACATGATAGCGCCATGTTCACTATCTTTAAGAGTCACAGTATCAAAAGGGTTAGCTTGACACTGTTGTGTTCTTTGATTTTTAGTGCCACGGCGACACAATTTATCATGCCTTGGCGCTAAATCTTTCAGCAAGCAATGCATCGTTTGAAAGTAATCAGCGTTGCGACATAGCAATTATAACTTCCAAGGGACACGATCTGCCAGCAAAGCAACATGAATGTTCACTAAGTAATTGTTCCACATCAACAAGCGCCATGGTAGTGCAAAAGTTCTAGTGCCAAATCATTAATTAATTTCAAGGGTGTCGTGGCACCACTCTTTCAAGCGCCACAGTGTCACATGCTATTTTTTGTGTTATCTCATAAATAGTAGTGATGTTATGTTTATAGGGAGTTCAGTCACTTGTCTAATTTCAGTACTTTTAATAGTACTTTTTTAGATCTCTCTTAGAGTCAATTCTAAGAGAGACTACAAAAGAGCAAGATATAATCATTAGAGTGTTTAATTAATGTTTATTTGAGCAACTCTGTGCGTTAAGAAAGAAGTAGTGTATAGGAGATACATTAATCTTTCCTAGTGATATCACTCTCTTATATTTTTGTTCTTCCATGATTTCAACGAAAATGGGTTTATTTATCTTTTCTTTCAAGTATAGCTAATTCTCTCGTTTTGGATTAATGATGTATAGAACATACTAAGTACTAATGAAGAGTTTTTTTATATAAATTTAATGATGTTTTCAATATTTTCTCGCTCTTTATTTAACGCGTATAGTGGTCATATGTTTGTAGTTAAAACCTAGTGTGGTGTATAACTTTGATGGAGGATTACAAGAATAACAAGGAATATTGAATTAGTATGTTTGCATACCTATACATAACATATAAAATATTAGATAATCTAATTATAGGAGGTCAGCAAATATTTTCACCATTACAAGCTCGATAGAGATCTACGGAAGCATATGCTCTAAATCACATTTACAAATAAGAGTTTCATTATAAAGATATGCAATTTACATTCATCAATCTAAAATTCTTTATTTAAATATTATATCAATTATTTTTACTAATTTTATTCAACGATTGAATCTCTACAACCAGCATTTTTATTTTAGTAGAATAATTTTGCAATTAGAGTAAATAGTAATTGTTAATTAACTATTAGAAAGCATACTTCATCGTGGGTTCGACACGCTACTCAATCACTTTATTACATAATTCGATATTTATACT